TCAGCTTTGTCCATCCATCAATCCCTCCATTTTCTAACCACACCTTAACAGTTGAGGGTTGCGGGGTAGCTGGCGCCAATCCCAGCAAACAAGAGGCGCAAGGCAAGATATACCCTGGACAGATTGCCCGTCCGTCGCAGGGAACACACAGACACAAACACACTCACACCAGGGCCGATTTTTCCCAGAAGCCAGTTGGCTAAGAGCAATTTGGACCGTTGGGGGAAACTGGAGCAACCGGAGGAAACCCATGTGAACACGAGGTCAGAACATCCAACCTTCATGCAGGCAGCTCTCCAGGTCTGGAACTGAGCCCAGAGCACCAGCACTGCAAGGCAGGAATGCGAACCCCTGTATCACCACGCGGCCCCAGCTTCAGACTTTGGGAATGCTTATTAAAATAATCGAAAACAGTTAACGATGAAGCAAAACAGGAATGCTTTGACAAGGGTGGGATTTAGTATTCGCAGGGTGGGAAGTTAGCGAGGACTCCTGGTGCGTCTTGACCACCTGCAGCTCATCTGTTGTTAAACTTCCTCTCCGTCCCTCTTGCAGCTCTCCATTCACGAATTCCAGGATAACCCCAAAGGACACATCCTGGTGATGAAAGGAGCCCCCGAAAGGATCTTGGACCGCTGCTCCACCATCCTGATTCAGGGTCAGGAGGTCCCACTCGATGAGGACATGAAGGATGCCTTCCAAAACGCCTACATGGAACTGGGAGGACTGGGAGAGAGGGTACTGGGTGAGGACACAAAGGGTTATTTGGCAAGCATGTTATTTCTGAAAAGTACTTTCATATGCCAGAAGTTTTCAGAAAAGTATCATTGGAACACATGACAGAGCAAATGCTTCACGTGTTTTGAACCAGCAGAAAAGAAGTAGAGACACACATTGTTAGTTCTTGCCTGGGTAGCAATGTGCAACACAGGTGTCTCTTGTGACAATTCCTCCTCTGACTCCATGACAGTTGTGTATCTAATGCTCTTTTATATATTAATGTTAAAGATTCAGATCAAAGCAAAATAATACCACTGGCAAGAAACTACATGCTACATTTACATTAGATATACAGATCATTTATATCAACCCATCGCCTTTCTTGAATTACAAAAGTAGTTTGAATTATGGAAAATTATGGGAAATGATATCTTTAAAACCGTGCAATAGCAATTTTATCTCCCACTGCATGATCAATGCTGCTTCCTTCCTCTTTTTCCGTGCCGTACAGGGTTCTGTCACTATCACCTCAGCCCGGACAAGTTCCCGCGTGGGTTCAGGTTCGACACGGAAGACGTGAACTTCCCGACGGAGGACCTGTGCTTCGTGGGGCTGATGTCCATGATCGACCCCCCGAGGGCAGCCGTGCCAGACGCGGTGGGCAAGTGCCGCAGCGCGGGGATCAAGGTCCGGGTGACAACCACCGCCTCTGCCGCTGCCGCACGAACCCGACTCGCCGAGCCCTGCTTGAAAAACCCACAAACAGTCGCTGACTCTTCCAGTCCAAATTTACGCCCAGCAGCTGGACCCAGCTTGCTCACCTGTTGGGGTTAGGTTAATCATTGGAAGAGCATCTGCGATTTGTTCTTCTAAACCCGTGACGTGCAATTCCAGGTCTTCAATACCTTCAATACCCTCAGGGGTTTTATTCCACTTCTATGTTTAATGACCTAATTCATCAGCATCTACCCAATTTGGAGGCTTAGCTTTCCTCTCTGTAGATCATGATAAAAAACGACTATAAAATAGAAACATCAGTGGGGAATGGACAATGGCTCCATCGCCTTAATCTCAAGTTTTATTCATCCGAGGGCTCACCCAACGCGAGTATTGATAAAACCTGGCCAATCGAGAGCTTGAGCGGTCTGCGAGTTGACTTCCTTGCAGGCAGCCCCAACCCTTTGTCGATGAAAACACCAGGCAGTGCTGATCTGAGCGCGTGTCGTCGCCGTGGCTCTTGTTGACAGGTAATCATGGTAAC